TAGTCAATTAATGTTTGGGCATTTTTTTTATTAGTTCTAATTACCTTTTTTTCCTAAAATAATAATTTTTTTATTTTATCATCAAATTAAGAATTTAGATATAATTTTTATGTTCATCTATTTTATCAAAAATTACTTTAATCATAGAATGAATAATTAACGTTGAGAAATAATTATAATATTAAAGTAGAAAAAAAATATTTTTGTCATTAAAATAAGAAAAAATTGTTATTATTCTTGACAAATTTTAAATAAAAAAACATAAATTTTAAGGCGTGTGTTAACCATGCATCTGTATTTATTATCTGTACTTTCAATTTTTTTTTTTAATTTATAGCTTTAGGTTTTATTTAATGTAGTTATTGCATTTTACTATATATAGATTTATAGCCAAAGCACCTATTTTTCCCCTAGACATTTTTTCTTTTCATAGTCAACACCCTAAACTAATTTTTCTTTCCGTTAACATGTTTTATAATTTGAAATCTGTAAAAACTTCAAATTACTAACAAAGTCAGTGTACAAATAGATGGTTTAACTATTAATTTTTTGTGTAAAAAAGGGATTTAACTGTTAATTTTTGGATTTTTTACGAGTTTCAAATTATAAATGGTGTTAACTAAAAAGAAAATTAATTTAAGATGTTGATTATAAAAAAAAAAATGTCTAAAGTGTAAATAAGAGGTTTGACCTAGATTTATTACAAATGGTCAATTTTATCTAATAGTTATAAACACCTAAGAAAAAAGAGTGAGGTTTAAATTTTTGTATTTCTTTTTTTTTTTTTTCCCAGAAAAGAGTAGACATGGCCTAACCCCTACCCTAAATAATTCTGGCCCTGATTTGTATAGCCCGTCTTAAAAAAGAAGAAGAAGAAGAATAAGAAGAAGATTGTAATGAAAAGAGAAAAATCTAGTAAAAGATTGTTAAGAAAATAATTAATGTGAAAATGAAAAACAGTTGAAATAACAATTAAAATTTATGAGAGTAGTGTTTACCAAAATCTCAATTTTAAAACATTACAATTCAATAAATATTTAAAAAAATTAACTTCTAAATTTAATATTTTATTCACATATTATATATATATATATATCAATTTTCTAACTAATTGAATATATTTAACTGTTTTATTGATTATATAAAATTTAATATGGTTAATTAAATATATGTTAAAAAATATAATTTTTAGATCAAATGATAATAAATGTTACTAAAAAATTGATATATATAATTTATATAAATAAATTGTTTAATTCAACTATTGATTTTTAAAATATTTATTAAATAATAATATTCTTAAATTAAGGCTTCAAGAAATTGACACTTATTTGCGCCATTTTCAAAATTTATTATTCTATGATGAATACTATTTTTTTTTTATGTACCATGATGAATATATAATATTATTGTTTGTAATTAAAGGTCATATATATGTATAATTATCCCGAAGGTGAGATACACGCACACACGGTTCAACAAATGACATTAATAATTAGTATACTAAGTTAAATCATATGCTTGTTATGCTAGCCCTGTTATATACTTTTAAAGTTCTAGTGTTACTAATGAGCTCCTCTTAATTAACTCAAGGAGATATCTTTCCCTGTCCCTTTTTTTTTTTTTTCTGTTCTTTGTGTGGATGTGGGGGATCCCAATTTGTGACTATTAGGAAAAAAAAAAAAGATAAATACTTAACTTTTAGATCAATGTTGGATATTCAAATATGTGTCCATAAAAAAGCTTCTAGTCTATGCCAGTCTTCCCGTGAAATGCTATATTAATAGCATTTTCACGGTAGAAAGGTGTGTTTGTACAGTTCATATTAATTAAATTATTTGAGTTTGGTGGTCTTAACCTTAGCTAACAACTCATGATAAATATTCATGTTCTGAGAAGACCAATTCATCCTCAGTAATTAAAAGAATTGGGACCCAAATCAATTCTCCATGATTAATTTTTTCTAGTTCTTTACTTACATTTTTGGCTGTCATCTATTGCACACATTTCACAAATTAAGAAAACTTTAATTAAATTAACCTCCTTCATTAATTCAACCTAATTGAACTACTAATTTGCATATCAAGTAAATAATATTAAAGTATCTATCCTAAAATTAATTATGTATACAATACAAAACTCACGATGGATCTCTTACTATCATGATAAAAAGATTCTTACTATCTTCCCAAATTATTAGGAAAATAAATAAAAATATAGTTTAGATTTTTTTTTTTTTTCTTTTTGAAAAGATAAACCACATAAGTATATATATGATTGAACATGGAAGAGTAACCTAAAAATTGCATGAGAGAAATCTGACTTCGTTTAGTTTCTATGGTCAGAAACGAGACAGACAACAGTAATAGAAGATATACATACACATACAGAACCGCCCACTGGGTTTTATATTTTTATTTTATTTCTCACACAATATAAAACTATTTTATTGTCAGAAACATATATTCCCACTAAGAAGTTAAAATAAAATAAAAAAGATATTAATTTATTAGGCAACTCTCTTTCTCTCTCATACACATACAACCCATAAAGCAAGGTGATACATACATGGAACATCCTCAAAAGCCATCAAACATTGCTATATCCAGCCTTTAGAAGTTAGAAGAACCAGTTTCAAGAGAAAATAGTTTAATTCTTGTTCTTCTCTCCTTAAATATACTATTCATTTTTCCTCCCTCTTCAGTTTCATCATCCATGGACACTGCTCAATGGCCACAGGTAAAGAGAGATCTATCACTATCTTCTTCTTCTTCTTCGTCTTCTCCAAGACACCTTTTTATTCTAGCTTTTCCATGGAATAATTTAGTGAATTCTATGGTTCTTCTTGTTTATTGGGAACTTTTTTCTGGCAAAAGATGATGCTGTTCATGGCTTTCAAGCCCCACTAAATTGGATTTTAGTTTTTATCAGTTCTTCTCCAATTTTTTTTTTTTTTGGCACTTTATCTTTCTTTCTTTTGGTTATGTGATAAAGGAAATTAAAGCAGCTCTCTCTTTTTCTTCCTTTTTCTCTTCCTATCTTTTATGTTTTGGCTGATATAACTTGTTTGGTTTCTTTTGTTTGTCTTCTATATATCTTCCTTAATTTTTGATCTTCAGTTATCTGCAGTACTGCTGAATTTTCTTTTGTTTGATGATATATGTGTTTAAGTATGGCTTCCTTTATGTCGGTGTTTTCATTTTTCCTCTTTTCCCTTTTAGGAGATTGTGGTGAAGCCAATAGAAGAGATAGTCACAAACACTACTTCATGTCCAAAGCCTGGAGCTCTGGAGAGGAAGGTAAGGCCTCAAAAGGACCAAGCCCTCAACTGCCCCAGGTGCAACTCAACCAACACCAAATTCTGTTACTACAACAACTACAGCCTCACTCAGCCTAGGTACTTCTGCAAAACTTGTAGAAGGTATTGGACTGAAGGTGGTTCCCTGAGGAATATTCCGGTCGGCGGAGGATCAAGGAAGAACAAGAGATCAGCTTCTAATTCCTCTTCTTCATCCTCTTCCTCATCATCCAAAAAGCTTCCTGATCTGGTTACACCACCAAGTTTGTCACAGTCTTCTACTCAAAACCCTAAGATCCATGATGGTCAAGATCTCAACCTAGCTTTCCCATCCACCCAAGGTTTCAGAAGCATATCTGAGTTGGTTCAAGTTCCCACTACAATAAACAACAAGGAACAAATTCCTACTTCATCCACTACATCTCAACAACTTTCAGCTTTGGAGCTTCTCACGGGAATCTCTTCAAGAGGGTTGAATTCTTTTATGCCCATGCCACTCTCAGATCCAAACTCGGTTTATACATCCGGGGTTCCTATGCAGGAATTCAAACCAACCCTAAATTTCTCCCTGGATGGGCTGGGAAATAGTTATGGGAGTCTCCAAGGGGTTCAGGAGACAACTGGGAGGCTTCTGTTTCCCTTCGAAGATTTGAAGCCAGTCTCAAGCACAACAGATGCTGAGCCAAACAGAGAGCAAGGAGATTCAGCTGGATACTGGACTGGGATGTTAGGAGGAGGATCATGGTAAAGACTAAAGAGGATATGGCAAAAAGAAATTATGGTCCTTTATCTATTCTTGTGTTTTCCTTTTTAACTTGTTATTAATTTATTAAGGTGGGGTGACTTGTTTGGATTTCTTCATTACTAACAGATAGGAATACAAGGGTTTCTTTCTCTCCTTTGATTGCCTTTTTTTTTTTTTTTTACTTCTTCTTCTTCTTTTCTTTTCTTTTCATTTTTTTCTCCTCTTTAAACTATCATCTTCTTTAACTCTTTGAACCATGGTGGAAATTGGAAGGTTATTTTAGGTTGGCTTAATGGGATCAAGCTAAAGCCAAGATTCTTCTAGGGAAAAACATGTAGAGAAAAAGAGACATGCATGCACTGAGTTTTTCTCCTCTGAAGAAAAGCTGAAGGGCAACCCACTATTATGTGTCATTGATTGGCTTATTGGTACAAAAACTTAATAATGTATCTATTTGTTTAAGTTTGTAAGGAGAGTTTTATGGTTTTATGAAAAATTAAGACTTGTGTTTACTTAGCTTCTTCTAATTTAGCAACCAAATAATGCTCTTAATTAATGTCCTTAAATCTCAAATGGGTATCTCTCTCTCTCTTTTGTTTTTTTCTTTGATCAAATGGGTGTCTTTGAATTCTATCCATTTCTTTAAATTCAAGCAGGCTTTCAGTTTAAGGCATCATCTGAATCTCCATGAAGCCGGTGGAGAAAAAGGAGGTGATAAAGGTAAAAGAAAAGCCAGCTGCAGGTAAGAATTACTCTGATCCCTCCACATGCCAAACATTATTCAAAAAGAAAACTCAAAAGCACATTTGTGTAACTGGAACCACCAAAAGTTCACCTACTAGTTTCTATATCCAAACAGTTTCCCTCACATTTCCTCTTTCAAGTTATCATTGCTTGCATGCCCACCTCCACCTCCCTCCCCTTTCCCTCTTTTTTATTTCTTTTTTTTTTTTTTTAATTGAAAGATTTGAGAGGAGATCTGACAGACTCTTCTCCCCTTTGGGTCATCTGGGTGGGACCCACAAACATTCCCCTCGAGAAGTGTGCTCAAAGAATAATACACCCCACTAAGTTTGATCAATCTAGATCTAAAGAAACCCTTTTATTTTTTTATATATATGTTTTAGTTTCTTCAATTTTGTTTCTTTGCTGGAACCCACTTTTTAATGTGCATAATGTGTGTTAGATGTACCATACCATCTTCTGGATCATGGGGGTCTCTATCCTTTTGCTAAAAATTGAAGGGGTCCTTATTAAAGTTAGGTTACGAGCCGTTTGATTCTCATTTTCCTTCTCTGTGGGCGGTCTTTAGGAGGCTATGATATCCAGCAACCCTCACATTTTAACCATTAATTTTGGTAGAGGTGTTTGAAAGAAGCTTTTTCCCTAAAACAACAAGAATATCTTAAAGACCAAATTCAAATGTTATCCCCATTCCACTAACGTTGCTATTTATGGGGATGATTTATTGTAAAAGGAAGGAGCACTTCTAGTTTTGATGCCTTGATAAGTCATCTATGCCATGATGACTACTTTGAATCGCCTGGCAATTTCAATCCACAGTCTGCAAAATTGAATGCTTGAATTTTTGAACAAGATACAGGAGTGTCATCTTAGTCAACACACGTGCCGATCAGTTCACTTATTTTTTTTACAAGTGAATTTTTCTGCCGTATGGTATACTGTTTAATGCACAAAGCCGAACACAGAAAGCATGAAGTTCCTGAAAATAGGATTCATTTGGTACTAAATCAATAGTAAAAACTGAGGTTCATTAGGCTTCGTGACATCTCATATCTCATGAAGTTGGCCAAGTTGGTGAGAAATTTTACTACCCACCTAGTGAACCAAGATTCAACTCCCAGGGAAACCCCTAATTCAAGTAAATCTAGTGTTGTCTAACATGCGTAAATTGGCTGAGGAATGAAAACACCACCTAACTATGAAGGCAAAAGCAAAAGGGGAAAATTAGGGCCATCAATGCAGACTTGAGCTTCTGCTATGATACTATTCTTCCTCTATTCTACTTCTGGAATAATTTCTCTCAAGAAATATCTGCTCCTTGTGGTCAATTTCATTTTAAGTACAAAAGCTAGGGTCAAACCCATCGGTTAAAAACCTGCACTTGCACGTTGCTTGTATTACATAGAAAGGCAAAGTACAATGAAAACATGTTTTCCCCGAGTATGTAAAGGAAGGAATACAAATTCACTTCATTGGAAGAAAAGTAACACACCCTTTCCCAGTTTCATCATCTGTACAGGGGTACAACATTTGGATAGGAATGAAAAAATGGTGAAACCCAGTAACCAAATTAATAATTAAAAAAAAAAAAAAGTGAATTTATTTGGAGTTCAACGATCAGCGTTAATTCCAAATATACGAACCTTGTGCATGTTTGGGAACTTAGCGACTACCAGTACAAAAACTGCCAATGTGTTAAAGAACAGCATCGGATGTTGATAATCTGTTGTGTGCGAGGCTATGAGATACCTGCCAAATGAAATACGAGAGTCAGAAATTGGCATCACAGAAGAGTGTTAAAGGTCAAAACATTCTTCATGTCATGGGCATATGAAAGCCACAGAAAATGTTCGGGAACATATTCTAAATAATTAGTCAAAACAACGCAACAAATTCCCCCAGTAAGTCAACTATTTCGTCCATCAAATGGAAGTTATGTCATACATCAAAATGTCACATCATAGTTATGCTTCTATAATGTCCAAATCCATTTGGGAACTGCAGGTCATTGTGCACACAGAAAACAGGGCTCGATCTGCAGAAAATAGATGGCCTCATCACAGAAGAACAAAGTTGGGTAAAGTGGCATGTCAATCAATCATGTTCAAACCGATTGGTTAGCAAATTAAATGTCAAGTGCAGAGACAATGAGAACACCGAGTTAAAAAGCAAGTGCAAAATTATGTGTAGTTCAAAGTTAACCTCCTTAAGGCAAGTCTGATACAAGATGAAACCTTTCCACAAAATTTCACAGAAGAAAAATGCTCAAATGAGAGGAAGCATTAACTATTTTCCTTTACCATAAAGTCTAATCAAGTGATTAAACTTAAATATTTTAATACAGAAGAGTTAGCCATATATATTTTCACTGAGGCATTACTACAAACAATATTTTCACAAAGGCATTACCGTGACAAGGTTAAATGATTTGAGGAGAAAACTCAAAGTATCAAAAAATTTACTTTGAGAGCTGATAATAAATTAAACAAATAGAATGTATTTATCAAGAGCAATAGTGATGACAAGTTGTGAGGCCCTGATTGAATTCTCTATCTTGCTAGAAGAAACAACATCCAGAGATAGCTAAAGGATAAGAATCTAGGTCTTCTTTCACTATAGCAATTGACAGCATAATGAGTGATAAGCAACAATCTCTAGAATTGTAAGCCATTCATGACAGTGGAAGAAGTCCACAATCATGTAAAGTTCCTTCAATGTAAAACAAGTAGCCAACTGAACTTCTCTCTTGAAATACCAATGTCTATGCAGCAACTAGGGCCTTGTAATCTGGATCATTCAACAAAAAGAAAAACTATTTTGTTGCTAATTAACACTCAACTTCCAACTATCAACAATTCTAACTACAGTCACACCGACTAAAATAATAAGGTAGGGGATTACATCTTAATCAAAATAAAAAGGGAAACCTTATTCCAATTCAAGTGTAACATAGCACAAAACATCATTGTTCTGCGAAAAAATAATATCATCTTTAAGCAACACACTTATATAATAGGAAGTTCATACTTACAACACTACAGGCACAACAGTCAAAAACTTCCTGTTGCGAGTAAGCTGCTTCCCATTGTCTATCTGCTCCCACCATGTTAAACCATTGTATATGCCTTGGTCATCAGCAAATGGTGTTCCCTTTTTCCAATGAAAGAAATGATAGGTGACCTGAAGCAACAATCAAGGGCATTCACAAATACCATCATTAGGAAAATTAGAAGGGGAATTTCATATGAACGACAACTAAATATTAAGCAGATTTTTTTCTTGTGATAACATTAAGGTACGTTACAACAAGAGTATATCTTAGAAGCCAATGTTCTCTATAAGCTACCATCAAAATTGCTCCACAATAACAAACAGCAAGCAGGAAAGGAGAGCATAACTTCAAAGCATTGCTTATTTTTTGGCAGACGAAGAAAAAGACACTCAACTTTATATTTGCTACTTATATGAACCTCTTCACGGGAGTAAGAGGGGAAACATCTACGCTTTAGTAGCATTAAATGCTTTCCGTTTCTGTAACAGGAAAGACTAGTGCACCTTCTTGCACTCTTTAAAGATGTACTGGAGATACCAAAGTACTAACAGACAATAGAAAATCACGGGGTTGCTTATCAGTGGTTCCTTCATGTATAACATTGAACATGCTCTTTCATTGACTTGAAATTTCTCTTTTACCTTTCAATCAAACAATATCATATCCTAAAAAAAAATTACATCAGAATATATATATATATATATATATATATATATAAAAGAGTTGCTAAGTAGAAATGCCATATATAAACTGTAAATCTACAATGGGAATTGAAAACCAATCGACACAGATACAGAACAATCCCATCAATCTACAAGCCAAGCCTACTCAAAATCAAAATCGAGAAAATGATTCCCAGGATTCATTCGTGCAAATCAAAATTAAACGCAGCTAAAGCAGATTCAATCCATAAAATCAAGAAAAGGAATATTACTTCCGCATCCGTTTTTATCAAACCTTACAAGTCAACAGCAGCAAATGTAACAAAAGCAAAAACCAGATAATTCTGAGAATCGAATAAAGAATATATATAGTAATAGTACAAGAAATATAGAAAGAGAAGAGCATACGAAGAAATGGACGAGGTGAACGATGGTCCAGGCGGAGCCGGGAGAGCAACCGAAGATGGACAACACGATGAGCCACGAAAAGAAGAGGATCGAGATATAGGTGGTCCAAACACCAGGATACGTGAACCACTCCGTGTTCTTGTTCAGATCCGCCGGCGGCACCGCCCTGACGTACATTCTAGTTCTGAATCTGTTCTCCCGAGTGAAGCTGGTCTGTGCGACGAAGAAGACAATGAAAATGTGTTTGTGATATATTTTAACATTCTCGTTTGGGTCTTTTGGAAGCTGTGGGCTTTTATATTATGGGCTCTTTCAGGCCGTTTAGAGTTGTGTCAAAATTGAATGGTTTTTAAAACACTAGGGATTATCTCTCCAGCTAACAAAGACCTTTGAATAGGATTTTTTTGATATAGTAGTTTAAAATTAGTGATTAATGATTTAATTTAATTTAATTATTGATAATAATTATTAATAATTTAAATATTTTTATTATTAATTATTAACTACTAATCACTAATTTTAAATTATTATACCTTTCAAACTGTTTTTTTTAATTAATTTCTTAGTATCTGGTAATTAAGTTAACTCTCGATTAATCTGGAATTGAACTACATCGGATCTCATTTGAAGAGAAACTTTCCCAGCGCCTATTTTTCTATTCACAAAACTCAAATTCAAACTCAAACTCAAAACTTTATTTAAGGGAAATCAAATTCCTTCCACTTGAACTAATAAATCGATGGTACCTTTCAAACCATTATCCCGAATGAGTAGTCTTCATATTTCAAACTAAAATTAAAAAATATATATATAAATATATATATATAGAAAAAGTGCCTCCCTCCTAAAAATTAGAAGGAAAATCATCCTAAAACTACGTCATTTCAATAAATTTTTATTGAAAAAGATTAAACTACCTTATTTTTAAAGCATGTATTAAAGTGATTTTTGTATTTTTTCCTCCTAATTTTTTGAAAGTAAAGCAGACAAGCATTAACCCTATATATATCTCACTATGTTGGCTCTAGCTTCCATTCATCTCACGTTCAAGACTTTTTCCTTTCAAGAAAAATGACTAATTGTTTTTCTATTGTAGATTGCCGTGTGATATTGTGGTTGCTGCTCCTGTTATATTGTACTATTACCAAGAACTATTGATAATTATTTTAAAAGTATTATACGTTTACATAATTACTAAAAAAAACTAGAACTAGCACAGAAATTGATTATGGAGAAGCATTATCTAATTAGCGAAGTACCTGGAAAGTTACATTATACTTTCAAATAAAACAGAAAAATATAGAGCCTTATTATGTCAGAAACATGAATTGGATCATCACCTTTCCATTACATAAAATAATCGTACAACAAGATTGGAGTTATAAAAATCAAAGACTATGAGTAGCATCACTGACCCTATTCAAGCCCTCTGTTAATCTTCTCTTGGCTGACTTGGTTCTGTAACACCATACCTCAAATGCCTCAGTCAAGTCAGGATACTTAACCTGCTCGGTTTTCATCCAGTCTGCCAGAATATCTGCTTGATCATTTGACGGCAATGCCAGTATCAGCGATACTATTGCCCCCTCGATGCTTTGGCAGAGGTCATCATCCATCTTGTGAGTAAATCCTGCTTCCTCATTGACCTTAGCATCAAGGAGAGGCTTCATTTTTCTGATATAAGGTAACCATGTCTTTAGCAGTTGCACACGGCATGGTGCAGGGAGAATCACATTGCCATAACCAACTGCTTCCAACACTTTCCCAGTCATTTCTATCAGCTTCACCTTCAATCCCCACATGAGATGATTGAGTCTCTGGTCTTCAACTATTTCCAAAACCTTACCAGAGATTTCAGCCCAGCAAGAAACAAAGTCCTTCATTAACTCTATTTTTGGGAGTATATTACACATCCACTCCATGTCAGATAGGGACGGCGAAATTTTATCCTCAGTTGTCTCGGCACTGAGGTTAGAATTCACAAGCAAGGACAATAGTTCCTTTTCAAATGAAGAGAAAACTTTGGACAGACCCACTCTTACCACTGATTTTACTTCATCATCAGTGGTTATCAATGGAATGTCCTCATCTCCTCCAAGCATGAACTCCACTTGTTCTTGAGCAGAGGCTTTAAGCTCATCTCCAAAAGGTGGACATTGTCCTCCAGTGGAAGTAGCAAAGCGAAATGCAGAAATGAAGACATTTTTTGTAGCACTTAAATCCACTGGTTGGATCCTAGCCAATATAGGCATGGCCATTGGCCCTAACTTTGAGACCAATTTTAAAATTTCTTCCTCTTCCTCGTCCTCCCAAGGAACAGCCTCCAGGTACTGAATGCAGCTGTTTGTGATCTCTTCACAATGAAAGGCAATTGCCAAGTGAAGAATGCCGATAGCTGATTTCACAGAATTCAAGGAGTCCAAAAGTGAGTCAGCAGGAAGATACAGTAGCCTCAAAAGGTTGACATGATGGTTGTAATTAGACTCTGAACACTGGATCTCAATGTAGATTCCAGAGTCTGGATTAGAAAGCCAATCTGCAAAGAACCTGCTTTTATTTGTGAGAATTGAAGAGTGTGAATATAAGCACTCAGTTTTTCCTTCATGATTTCTCAAGCGTACAATGATATCGCTGGTTTTCTGGTCTCCAAACTTGCAAGTCTTGACTGCTCCAGTTTGGTCCATGTGAGGAGCAGAGAAATGCAAACTTCATGCTTAAGGCAGCTGAAAGAGATGCTCAGCTTGATGTTCAACTGTAAAGAAAATGATAACCAATCAACACAAATTCCAAAAGAATGATCAGGACAAAAATCTTTCTCAATCAATAAAAAGCTTCTTTGCAGCACAATGACATAAATCTACCCTGTTCATGGGTTTCACAGAAAAAAGCATGTCCAAGAGAGATTCATAGTAGAACAGACAACATTGAACTACCATATACAACATGAAATTAAATAATGTGATCCAAAATAATAACATTTTTCACTCAAATTAAAGAGGGAAAAGGTTAACATAAGAAACTGTACCTAAGCAAACAATAGCAAAAATCAGTCATCTTCTGATTTAAAGCCCGGAAGTCAACATAACACGTACATCTAGGCTATATAATACATGACAGCACCCCTTCCCACCCAGCCTTTCTTTCACGCTACCCTCTGACAACTTAACCCAAATAACCTACACTCCCTTCAGTTGGCTTGAATGTTTAGGTTCCATCATCCTAAAATTACAACCAAAAAGGGTAAAATAAACAGGCCGTATTCATTATATAACCATGGATGAGCAAAAGATGTCGCACCATCTTCTCCATATTGTTTCTAAAGAAGCAAATTCAGAGCCTATTGCTCTTACTCAGGGTTCTCAACGTCTACTTGATCAAAATAGCACAAGCCAAAGAATTTTGGCTTGAGAGCAATTACTTTCTTCTCCATCAATTCAATTACACAATGATAATTGGATTCATTTAGTACAAAAATTCCTGTTAGAGGAGTTGACAGAGCACTAAGAACATAGACAACAGCATGAATTTTCTTTCACTCGTCCCCTTGAAATATTAAGGAAAAACAAAAAAAAAAACAAACAGACAAACAAACTTGAGTTTCAGCGCTATTTCTCATAATTTGCATTTATTGGATTTAATTTTAGTACAATCTAAACCATGAAAATATGGAGTCTGACTTCAAAAACTTCAATTTTCTATCTTCCCCTGCACTTCCTTGGCAACCAACCAAACAGTCTTTAAGGTTAGATTCAAGGATAGAAAATTTCCCAGATTTCCAACATCCAAAACTGTAGTTCTACCCAAATGTCATATCTTAATACAGAGTTGCAGAATATTTACTTGAGAAACCAATCAAAAAAAAAAAAAAAAGCATTAATGAAGCAGAAAACTTGACAAAGAAAAAGGAAATCTGCACAAGGAAAGAACTAACCTTTTGAGAAGACCCAAATTGTAAAAACAGAAGGGTGAAGTTATCTACAGCTACAGAGGACAAATCTAATAATCTGAAGAGCAGAAGTGAAGCTCTTAGGATTGAATTAGGTTTCGGAGAAAAAGTGAAAACCAAGTTTCAGATTCTGCACACAAAAGCTGGAAATCCAATGCTTTTAAGCCTAGGAGCTGAAATGACGAAATTGACCTCATTCAACATACTAAATCTGCAGATAATATATTTTTTTGTAGTAGATATCAAGATAAATTATATAATAAAAATAATTTTAAAAAAAAAATATATTATTTAATTTAAAATTCGAATATAAAAATTTTGACTTAAAAGCTGAAATTTTTAATCAGTCCCACCCCAAGAGCATCTGGCATCTAATATTTGATGCAAAGGGATAGATTCTTAATTAAACAGATTTTAATGGGCAAAATCGTTCTGTGCAATGAAACCTGAGATGAGAATATGGACCATAACACATGATTGGTGGACATAAAGTGTAAGCCATGACGTGTTTGACTGGGTCGTGACCGTTAAACATCATTTTTTTGTTTAAACTACATTGTTTCCATGGGTCAGTGCGAGGCAGGGACTCGAACTCAGGAATGTCCCAAGTACCAAGAACTGTCCCCTACAAAGTCCAGTACTTAGGCTTGTGCGTAGGGAACTAGCATTTACATTAACTCAAGTGTAATAGAAATGTTCTGTCGACTAAGAACTTGAGGCAGCCTCTCTGTTACTTATGAGTGTTGAGTTTGAACTTGTGATCTAAAAAACACTATAAAAACAAAGAGTTTTTGGGGCGTTGTTATTCAACAACAATTTCTAAAGGGAGCAGCTTTTAGGTGTCAAACCTGCTCACCAAACGCGCAAGAATTAGACCCAATTGTATGTTGCAACCTTTAGATTTTTTAGTCTTGTATATTGCTCCCAACTTGCACAAGTTGCAAGTTGCAAAGGTAGTTGTTTAATGCAGCTATAAACCAAATAACTACCAACGAGGGGTTTGATCAAATGGTAAACGATTTATTGCAGTTTAAGTAAAGTCTCGAACTATGCAGTAACTTTCGTTGAAAGACTCACCCACAATTTCCAGATATACGACGCGAGTCGATTCAGATTAGTCGGGGCGAAGTCTGGATACCGGGCGAAAAACAAAAAAAAAAAAACTAAAACGGCTTCAACTATATATTTTATGGCGTCATTGACAATAGGAGTGTTGCATTTTATTATTATCTCTTTCCTCTCTCTGTCTCTCTCTGCTAGCCTATAGCTTATTTGGTATAATTATAGTTTTTGAATAATATTATTAACAATTTTAGTAATTTATTGGTAACTTTCTTTTAGTAAAAGTGACATTCGAGTATGGTAAATTAAAGGATGAGAACAAATTATCTTTTATTATGTAACTCGAAATAAAAAAAAAGGTATAATTTTACTATTTTTCAATTTTTTGGTAGTTTAGTATTGTTCATTTTAATCATAGAGGTTAGCTCATGGTGACGGGTGCACCGTGAACTGCTAGCCTGCAGAGGCATATTGGGCTTTGCATCCGAGGCTTTATTCGTAGTCCAACAAGGGCCTGAAAAAGGTGAACAATATGTGATTGCAGGAAGCAACATAGTGGGTTTCGACCCAAAAGTTATTTGGTCATAGAAGCTTCGTCTATAACTCAAGATTACAGCGCTTCGATGTTTTGGCCCAAAAAAAAAAAAGTTGTCTTGATTGCCATGAAATTACTATTAAGGGTGGCTATTTTCAATTTAGAGAATAAATAAGTAGATATATAGTTAATAATCCACCTCATTAACTGTATCTTTTCTTTGGTACTTATCTTAGCAATAGTTAAGAGCAAAATGATGGATATTGTGAGACTGAGTGAGCATGGTAGATTGTACTTCTTAAACTAAAAAAATCTTCGATTTGGTCCCTAAACTAATGTACAAACTGTGATTTGATCCCTATTATTTATTAATTTGCCTCAAATTGGTCATTTTGTATAAAATATAACTGACGTATCTATTATTTAATGGCTAAAAATAGTAACTTAACAACTACATATTACATTAATAATAAGATATGTCAACTATTTTTTGTATGGAAAGACCAACTTGGGACAAATTGGGACAAATTGATAAAAAGTAAGACCAAATCTAGAGTTTGTATAATAGTTCAAGGATCAAATTAAAAAATTTTTTAGTTCAAAAACCAAATCAAGGTTCTATATAATAGTTTAGGGACCAAATTAGAGATTTAACCTTTAAATAAAAAATAGAAACGTTTAGTGATTCTTGTTGCTTTCCTCATATTCTTGATCTTGAAGTAGCATTGACCCAGTTGCCAATTTTGTCTTTCAATAGGCTTTCTTGGGGGTTACAAAAATATACTGTTGGCTCAAATTAGCCCAATTTCTCTCGGGCCTAAACAAACCCCTTTTCAGAAGAAAATGTGAGTTCAAAAAGACCAAAAAGGGAAAAAATGGTTTTTACAATATAATGAGTAATTAAAATTAATAAATAATTATAATATTAAAGAAAAAAATTTATCACTATTTAAATATAAAAAATTATTATTTTAAAAAATTTAAATAAAAATTTTATTATTTTAAGAAA